ATTGTGTAGATGTACCACAGTTTTCTAATCCACTCATCTGTTGATGGGCATTTAGGCTGTTTCCAAATCTTAGCTATGGTGAATTGTGCTGCTATGAACATAGGGGTGCATATATCCTTTCTAATTGGTGTTTCTGTTTTCTTGTGATTTCCTCCCCCCCCATTTTAGCCTTAATAAAGTAATTCAGTAAATATTTATGTGTTTTGAACAGGTGGGAGGTTGGTCATGGTCCACACTCAGCTTGGCCTTTATTAGCGAGAGAAAGAAGGGGCCATGCCCTGGCTGTTTGCTCAGTGGTTAGAGTGATGGCCCTCAGACTGAAGGGTGTCGGGTTCTATTCATCTCAATTGCAGGCTCGATCTCTGGCCCTAGTTGGGGCGTGTTCTGGAGGCAACCAATTGATGTGTCTCTCTCACATGGGTGTTTCTTTCTCTCTGTTCCTCCCCCGCCTTTCCACTCTCTCTAAAAATCAATGGGGAAAACCTCAGATGAGGATTAAAAATAAAAGAAGGGAATGGGTCGGGATGTAAGATGTGACAGTGAGAAGAGCTCCAGGAGCAAGGGGTCTGCAGTGCAGTGATGCTGAGGCCCTGGCAGGAGGGTGTGTGCTGGAAAGGGTGCCCAGCTCAGATCCTGGGATCCCATACATGGGCTGGGGGCAGAAGCACCGGCACACAAGTGTTTAAACATGTCAGACGCTCCTTACCGGCTGACCAAGTGGTTCCCACTGCGCCTAAACCCATTACCCAACCCTTCCTAACTCTCCCTCTGCTTCCTCTCACTGCCCACAGAACAACCTGCCACCCCAACCTGCCTCTCTCCCAGATCCACTCTCCGTTTCTGTCCCACCAGCTGCCTGCCATGTCTCGACATCCTCAATTGAGCCCTGCCCGTGCTGTTCACTGGGTTCACCCAAAGGAGGCTCCTGAAGGAGGTGGGGCAGGAGGGGGAGAAGCAAGGAGAGAGTGCTGCTTCGTCCACTCCCTCTCCCACCAGCTGGCCCCTCTTCCAGGCCTCCAGCTCTCCCTGGCTCTGCAAACATCCTTCCCTGCCTTCACCTGATCGGGCCCAGGGGTGCCCCAGTTTCCTGCTGCACGGAGACCCTGGGTGTCTCACCATCCTGGTTGGCTGCCTTCACTTGCCCACACCTGTGTCTCTTTATTAACGTCTGTTCATTGAAACCATCTGGGGTGAATTCTGTTTCCTGGGGGATCCTGACTTATGATGCAGCTTCCCCTCTTGCTCTCTGCTTCACTGTCAGTAATTATGATGATGATCATCATCATTGTCATCAAACTAATGACACCAACAGCGATCACTTACTCAGAGTTTACCACAGGCTAGGCCCTGGGCACAGTGTTCTGGATAGATGATCTCATTTAGTTGTCACCACTCTTAGTCTGTGTATTGGTCCCATTTTAGGGATGAAGAACCTAAAGCTTAGAGAAGTTAAACAACTGGTTTAAAACCATGCAGGCAGAACTGAATCAAGAGCTGGATCCACCCATTGCCAAATCTCCCCTCCCACAGCCCTCTGCCATGCACAATGCATCCCAGGTGAGGAGTTGGTCGGCTCCAGCCATGTTCTGGCTGTGTGGCCCTGGGCCAGCCCCTCACCCCAGGGCGCTGGGTTTGTCAGATGCTTTGTAAACTGTAATGCACATTATACCTCTAGGCGCACGGGATTGGAGAGTTATTACTACCAATGCCACCATCATCATCTTTATTGCTTTGTTATTTCTAACCATCAAATTTTATAACTGCTTTAATCATAGAGTAAATCAAGCAGC